GTACAATATTATATTAGTTTCTGCACAACTATGTGATTCGACATTTATATAAATTATAAACTGATATCCTCGATAAATCTAGTACCCATCTGACACCACTTGTAGTTATTAAACTATTAATGACTATATTCCCTGTGCTGCACTTTACATCCCCCTGATTATCCTGTAACGACCAATTTGTACTGCTTAATCCTTCCACCACTTTCACCCAGCCCACTCACCCCCTCCCATCTGGCAAACATCAGTCTGTTCCCTGCATCTATGAGTCTGTTTCTGTTCTGCTTGATGACTTAATTTTTAGATTCTACATGGAAGTGCAATCATCTGGTATTTGTCTCTCTCTTGTGACATATTTCACTCAGCACCATACCGTCCATGCATGTTGTTGCCAATGGAGAGATTTCACACATTTTTTGTGGCTGACTCATATTCTGTGGTGTAGATGCACTACTTCTGTGTTTTCCATTCATCTATTGGAGGACGCTTAGGTTGTTTCCATATTATGGCTTTTGTAAATAAGGCTGCAGTGAACACATGGATGTGTATGTCTTTTCTGTGTAGCAATTTGGGTTTCTTCAGATAAATACCCAGAAGTGGAAATGCTGGGTCCTTCTCTGTGTCAACTTATGTCACCTTTGTTTTCAAGTCTGTGTTGTCTGGTGTACACATTGCTATCCCAGCTTTGTTTGTTTCTTGGTTTCCATTTCCCTGAAATGTACTTTACATTCCTCCTCTTCCAGTCTGTGTGTGTGTCCTTCAGACTGAGTCTCCTGAAGACAGCACAGGTGAGGGTCTTGTTTTCCTATTTAGAGCAATTAATCCATTTTTATTTACAATAAATCTTGATAGACATGTATTTTTTGCCATTTCATTATGGGTATTTTTATGTTCTTCTTGTTGTTGTTCTCAAAGAAGACCCTTTGACATTTCTTGTGATACTGGCTTGGTGGTGATAAAGTCCTTTCACTTTTCTCTAGTCTGGGAAGTGCTTTATTATTCTGGCGTTTTATTTGTCCTTCTTCAATTCAATATCTAAAATATTTACAACTCAACCCAGGCTGGTGTGGCTAGGTGGATTAAGTGCTGGACTGCTAAGCAAAGGGTTTCCAATTCAATAGCAGTCAGGGCCCATGCCTGCCTTTCTGGCCAGGTCCCCAGTAGGGGGCACACAAGAAGCAACCACACATTGATGTTTCTCTCCCTGTCTTTCTCCCTCCCTTCCCCTCTCTCTAAAAATTAAAAAAAAATTACAACTTAGCCAAAACATAAAGAATATTAAGAAACAATTTGAAAAAGAATAAATGCCTATGGTAAACAATTACATTTGTAATAAATGCATGTAAGCAAAAACTAGAATGCAGAATAAGAAAAATAGGAATAAAATGAAAATCTAGCAGTTTGGCAAAGGTGAAAGCCAATGATCAGCTTATCAGCCTGAGGGTGGGGAACACATTCTTTTGCAAAGGTTGAAGGGGTTGAAAACTGGGACAAAATTCCTGAAGGATGCTTTTGCAAAAGGTATGAGCAATTTAAATGTGCTTACATTTTGATACACAAAGTCCCACTTTAGGAATTTGTCCTAAGAAGATAATCTCTCTCTCTCTCTCTCTCTCTCTCTCTCTCTCTCTCTCTCACACACACACACACACACACACACACACGGATGTTTGTTGTGTGGTGGTTTAATGGAGGTGAAAGGGTGGAATGTCTCCAAATGCTCCAGTCAACAGAATGATGGTAACTGTGCACACAGGATTGCTCACAGTGTCTCAGGCAGCACCCTGGGATCTACACAGAGACTGTTAGAAATGTGCAAGAGGTAGAGGTAGGAGGAGCTGGATAATCTAATCCAAGTGCCTTCATTTGATGCTGGGTTTACAGGGGGGCTGAGTCTGACCAGACTGCAGTGTGGGGGGTGGGGCAGGCAAGAATGGGGTTTTTTAAAAGAGAAAACACAAGGGCTGTAGGGGGGTAGGGGAGGGGTTCTTGTCTTGTTCTTTTGAGCTGCTGCTTCAGGGTTGCAGGATGTGAACCAGGGCAGTAAGTTAGCTAAACACCAGGGTGTTCCCAGGGATAGGAAGGTCAGTGTGAGCACCAGCCATTAGAGCTGGCATCAGATGTGTTTTGGGGGAGGTGGGAGAGAGTTTCGATTAAGCCTCAGGCTACCAAGTGAGTTGGGACCACTGAGTCATGAGCAGTCTGGTGGGCCAGAGAACTGGGCTGAGAGGGAAACAGTGATGTGAGGGAGAAATACCAACCAGTTGCCTCCCATGGGTGCCATGACTGTGGATCGAACACTAAACCTGCCTATGTGCCCTGACCAGGGGTCAAACCTACAACCTATGGCTGCAGGGGACAACACTCCAACCCACTGAGCCACCCACCCAGGGCTGACATAGGTTCTTTGGTGAAATGTCTATCTAGAATATTGATCACTTTGTATTGAATTGTTTTGTTCTCGTTGAGTTTGAGGATTGTTATGTATATCCTAAAACAAGTGAAATGCAACCATTTGTCTCCCAGTCTGTGGCCTGAGCTCTTTTTACAGACATAACAGCAACATTAATGTACAGGTAGACTTTCCTGGGAGGAGGAAGCAGAAGTGACTCACTGTGATGGTTTCCTGGTAGAGGACTGAGGTGACTGAGGGGTCAGGGGGACAATGTGTCTCATTTAATTTTGTGTATTCTTGAGAGTCTTTTTTAAGAATATATACTTTATTGATTATGATATTACAGTTGTCCCATTTCCCCCACTTCATTCCCCTCCACCTTGCATACCTTCTCCCACCCACATTCCCCCCTTTAGTTCATGTCCCTGTGTCATAAGTTCTTCAGCTTCTACATTTCCCATACTACTCATGCCCTCCCCCTGTCTATTTTCTACCTACCATCTATGCTACTTATTCTCCGTACCTTCTCCCCCTCTTGAGAGTCTTTTGAGTACTCCTATATGTGCATGAGTAATGTTTTCAAAGAACAAGTTACATAAAATCCCTTCACTTATGAAACTCCTGACAGATCATCCTCACATCACGACTTAAGATTCAGATTCTGACCCTCTTCACCGGGACCAACCATTTGCCTTAGAAATTCCTTTCCTGACAAGGGGAGCTAGAGTGTGTGGGCAAATCCTCCCACTGAAAAAGGGTAAAAATAGAATGTTTAATAAAAAGTTACTTCTTAAAAGCAACAGAGTATTGAGGAGATAAGAGTGACCATGCCCAAGAAGAAGGAAATGACCCAGCTTGGCCTCCACAGAGAGCAGTGCCCTGAGTGAGGAGTGGTGGAAGGTGTGCAGGGTCACTGCCCAGAGCCCAGACATGGAGCCCAGCACTGTCAGCCCTGAGCTGAGCTCTTGACTTTCCTCCCCATCAGCCTTCCCTTCTACACATGTCAATAAAGTTTTTAAAATTAATTATGTCCATATAGATAACAGGCAATTTATATGGTGAATGCATATTCCCTGTAAAAATTATAAAATGTTAAAACCTATAAATGAGAAATTATCACTAAAGTAAAGGAGTTTGTTCATCTGTGACACGAAAGCCCGATATGATGCTGCTAGGAGTTTTCATCAAAAAGAGTAAAGGCTCCTGGTCTGTTTCTCTCTCTCAGTCTCTCTCACTCTCATATCAATAACCACACCTTCAGGTTAAGGTTCCAAAAGGAAAACCTTTGAGGTAGGAAAGTTTGCTCAAAGTTTGAACCAAATCCTACACTTCCTCTTTACAGTCTCTTGAAGTTTTCATTTTCTGCTGTGTTGATTATTGTACAAGTTGCTCTGTAGAGCAACGTGCTGTGCAGACTTTCAGCCCAGAAGCAACAGGCTGAGCCCTGCAGTCCACGTGAGCAGTAGGGAGACCATCCAGGTGTGAGTGCCTCTGTGCTGTTCACACAACCACAACTTCGCACAACTACATGTTTCTCAGGGTGGATCACCACCACTAGGTGGTACATGAGTGAATGTAAGTGCATCAAATAAACACGGTGGACATCTTACCCTTACACAATGTTGTGTGTCAATTCTATTTTAACTTAAAAATAAACTGTGGATTTTATGCACAACATTGGTATTCAGTGAAGGATCACTAAACAGTGTAATTAAGAATATTATACACACTGACATCCACAGATTAGCTTTTCAACAGCTGCTTCCAACAGCTCATGACCCCAGGAGCTCTAGGATCCCTGAGTATGCTCAGTGAGGGGTAAAGAGCAAGAAAACGAGAAGTCAACCAGGGGAGGCCTGCACCCACCAGAGATGGGGGCCCACTCACACAGGGATGTTAAAAGTGAAAAGAATTCAACACATAGGAGCTGACATAGGTGACCACCAGCATCATGACGGTGTGGGTGGCTCTGGTCACTGGAGGTCATTGGTGGTGGCTGCCGAGGTATGAATGTGCTGCAGTCTCTGGAGGTGTCTGAGCAGGTGAAGCACCATGGAGATGCTGGACCAGAGCTCGAGGACAGTGAATGTGACACAGGACATGACCCCATGATGGCGGACATACTCAGGCAGGTCTGGACAGTAGGGACAGAGATGGTCATTACTGAGATGTCCCTCAGAAGCAGTGGGCAGGAGACAGGAAAATGTCGCAAGTTCCCTAGGGAGGAGGTACTCAGCCCTTGAGGAAATACTGCCCTTTGCAACAGCATGGATGGAACTTGGGAATATCATGCTGAGTGAAATAAGTCAGTGAGAAAAAGCTAAGATCCCTTTGATTTCTCTCACACGTGGGCCATAAACCTGAAACTCATGGACACAGACAGCAGAGTGCTGGTTCCCAGAGGGAAGGGGGTTGGGGGAGGAGGGGCCTCATACCTGGTGAGGGAAGATGGTTTGGCTTTGGGAGGTAGGCAAACAGTGCAATGTACAGATCCTGTATCATAGAAATGTGCACCTGAAACCTACATGATCCTCTGAACCAGTGTACCCCAATATATTTAATAAGAACACATCACAATACATTTAATAAAAATACTCTAATAATTTAATTAAGAAAATGAATACATATAACATGTAGAAAAGAAAGAAACAATAAAATACCCAAAACAGGGGCTGAAGGCCAGACCCAGGGTGATGTGGCCTCCTGTGGCCCTCACTGAGCACAGTCCTGGAGCCACCACAAGGCCAGGGTGACATTCAAGTCCCTGAGATCCCAGGTCCTGGTGGGACAAGGTTCTCCTCAAGTGGGAAGGATAAAATCACAAGAAAGATGACCCAGCCGAGGAATGACCAGGTTGGGGATGGCCTCACCCTAACTCTGCTAGGACAGGACTGTCCCCAGGGGAGAGGACCAGGACCCTCTGGGAGAGTGGACTGGTGAGCAGCTCCTCACACAATACTGATGAAAATGCAAACACATTCTGATGCTGGTCAGAAACAGCAGTCAGGGCTCCCGAAAGTCCCAAGGGGAGGCTGCAGTGAGTGTTTTAGCACCAAGTCCTGGACAAGGCAGGTCTGTCAGCCTGGGAAAGAAAGTTGTCATAAATAAATTCAGGTCAGTCTCAGAAGTGTCTCATTGTCCCACAGCCACCTCATGTTCCAAATGTGCCACTGTGGCAATCCCCCAAACCCATTTGTGCCCCTAGGTCCCAATGCCCCCCACTTCCTGCTCTCAGGGTCTCACCCTTAGGAGCTGTGAGAGACACGTCAGAGCCCTGGGCACTGTTGCTGTCTGGGGAAGACACAATAGCAGAGTTACACGGTGGGGGAGCGCCCCTCACAGATCCAGCCCACACTCTCCCAAGGGTCCCAGATGTCACCTCTCCAACACCCAGACTTACAGGCAGCCTGAGTGTAGCTCTCCCTGCCTCTGCCTGAGGGAAGAAAATGTTCTGTGAGAAGTCAGGGGGAAGGCTGGGTCCTGTGACCTTAAAGGAACCCCATACTCCTGAAGCACAGGGAAGGTTCCAGAACTGTGACTGAACACCCAGGGTAGGATCCGGAAATCTGCGAAAGTGCATGTGTGGGGACTGGACCAACTGCCTGTCTGGATGTGTGTCCTCAGCAGTGACCACCTGCTATGACCTGTGACAGCTGCGAATCAGTCCCTATCGCTAGAATCATCAGCTGATGTGTCCTTCACTTTCCTATGGGCCTCACTAAAGGGTCAGTGTTAGGAAATAGGCCCCAGATGGACAAGCACCCATGTGGGGATACGATGCCCATTAAAAAGGCAGAGCACACTTCTACCTGGGCTTGACCAGGGGGACAGGGAACTCAGCCCCACCCCTTGCCCACCTGAGCTCTTCCTCCTCCACAGCACAGCTCCAGTGACCACAGCTGCAAGGAGACCCAGGGCAGCAATGATGCCCACAATGGTGATGGTGGTCTGAGGAGGGGGGTCTGTGTTGGTCTCTGGAGTGGGTTCTGCAAGGGAAAGGTGAGAAGTCAACCTCAGGCCTGAGTCCTGACCCTGCTCAGGGACACCCTGAGGAGAGGCTCTGTGCCCATGCACCCTCCTCACCCCATCTCAGGGTCAGGGGCTCAGGCAGCCCCTGGTGCTGCACATGGCACGTGTATCTCTGCTCCTCTCCAGGGGGCACGGCCACAACTGCCCACGTCTGGAAGGTCCCGTCCCCTGCAGGCCTGGTCTCCACAAGCTCCATGTCCTGGGTTAGGTCCTCCCCATCACGCTGCCAGGTCAGGGTGATGTCCGCAGGGTAGAAGCCCAGGGCCCAGCACTTCAGGGTGACCTCATGGTCAGAGATGGGGTGGTGGGTGAGGAGTGTCTTTGGAGGGTCTGAGGGGACAGGTGAGAAAAATCAGGAACTTTGCATGGTCATGGGACACTCCAGCAGTGCTCCTGTGACCACCCTGAGAGTGGACAGGACAGTGGGGGTGGGGGAAGGGAGATCACCACCCAGACAGCAGCCTGGACAGAGGCACCTGGGATGGGAGAGAACCTAGGGTAGGAGTGTCCAGGTCTCTAAGGGGAGACACAGACTCAGGTGGAGGCTAAATGACTCACAAAAACCAGAGCCAGGCCTCCAGAGAGGGTCTCAACCAGACAACCAGGGAGAGTGTCCTGGTGCACCAGGTGCTGCAGGGTGTGAGGGAACCGCTGTGGGTGTTTCAGGGAGAGGCTGGGGCCTTAATTGTTCTTTAGGGAAAGCTGTGAAGGTGGGTGAGTCACAGAATAAGGAAACCTGGGGCACCATTTCCTCTCCGGAGCAGGAGGGACATTCTGTCACTATCTCATTGCCCTCCTTTCCTTGTAGAAAGCCGCCCCAGCCCACAGATCCCCTCCTCAGGGAGGCCTCGCCCTGGCACCTGCTCTTTGCAGGGCCTCCTTCCCCTTCTCCAAAAGCAGCTGGAGGCGGCGTGCACACGTGACCTTCAGGAACAATCTCGTGAGGTCCGCCTCGGGGACCTGCACCAAGTTGCGCCCGGTGATCTGGTCCACTGTGTCGGCCGTGGTCCAGGAGCGCAGGTCCTCGTTCAGGTAGATGTAGTCCACACCGTTGTAGGCGAACTGGCTGTACCCGCGGAGGAAGCTCCCGTCTGACCTCACCACGCAGCCGGTCATTTCCTGGAGGGTGTGAGACCCTGACCCCACCCGCCACTGTTGTCATCACCACACTACTGAGCCCCACCATTTCCACGCCGCAGCCCGGGGGTGTTGCACAGACTTGGAGACCCGGGAGACTCGGGCCTGTCCATGGGGATGGGGCTTGTACCAGGACCCAGCATGCCTGCTCACCGTCCTCGCTCTGGTTGTAGTGGGCGCGCAGCTTCTTCAGGTTTTCCCGGGAGGTCTGTTCGTTGTGCTTGATTTCCACCATCTGGTCCTTCCAAAAATCTGGGTCCTCCTGCTCCACCCACGTCTGCTGCAGCCACAGTACCCGCGGTTCCCACTTTGGATTCGCGGCGTGGTCACTATCAAACCGCAAGATCTCCGTGTGGTCCACATAGCTGACGACGATGTACCGGTTCTTCCCGCTGCCCGGTTGGTACACAGCCGTGTGGGAATAGCTCAGGCTGTGTGGGCCTGGGAGAGGGAGGACGCGGGTCCTTGGTTTGCTGTGGGTCAGGTAGGGACAGGGGGCTGCTGGGGGTGGGTGGAAGGGGAGAAGGAACACCCCCCTCCGTGAATGAGAGGAGGGGACAGGGCCGAGGAGGGTCCGATTTGGGGTCTGGGCGGAGGGTGCTGGGTTATAGCAGTCCGGGGTCCTGTGACCCCGCGGGGTCTGCTGGCTCCTCCCCCGCAGAGGCGGTACCCTCCCGATCCCGCACTCACCTGCCCAGGTCTCGGTCAGGGTCAGGGTTCCGGAGAGCAGCAGGAGAATTGTCTGTGCCATTAGTAGAAATTTTGAGTCACGGGTGAATGAGAGCTGGTTGTGGGTGAGGCTTTATATAGCCTCGGGGAACCAGCGTGACGCTGATTGGCTGCTCTAGAGTCCGTTCAGCCAATGGCATACGGAGCAGTCAGGAGTTTGGCAACTTTACAGATCCTCCCACAAAGACAACTTTGGGCGTTTTTCCTGCAGGAAGGCCAGCTCGGCTCTTTCTTTGCTATTTAGAAAGGAAGGGGTTCAGGTCACACTTTTATGATTTATGTTCCTCATTCCGTTGACTCTTTATTGTCCTCTCAGCCCGCTCAACACATCCCTGATAGTTGTTTGGCTTCTTAGGAAGTGTCCCGCTCTCTGTACCTGATACCACTTTAACTTGGTGTGATCACCTTAACCTTGCACCTGTTACCCCCTTTACACCATGAAGACAGTTGTGTTGTGCTGACTGACTACCTGCTGGTTCCTGGGAGTGATTTACAGGAAACTCCTATTGATGCTACTGCTGTAATTTGGTTACAGAGGGATCTTATCTGAGAGATGAATGGGGATATTACTGAGAGGGACATGCACTAACTTCCATGATGGACATAATCGAGAGCTCTCATCAACTGGAGGTAAAATCTGCCCAGCACGCTGAACTCAGTGCTCTAACTCACACTTGTCACCTGGACGAAGGTCCAGTAGCCAATGTTTAACCTGAGAGCTGTGTGCACCTGGTGTAGCTAGCTGTGACTGTGGGATGATGTGGAAGTGGGGAGGCCTCCTCACTTCCTCAGGGCAGCCCCCAAAGAAATGGAAAAATGGTTGCAGGATTATTAGATGCCACATAGGACCCAAAAACAATGGGCCATTATCAAAATTCCAGGGCATTCTAAAGCTGCCACCATGGAAGGGAAAGGAAGTCATTTTGCCAACACAGAAGCTAGGTAGGTGGCATTGAATAGACACGTTATCCAGACCCAAGAATGTTGTATTCAATCAACAGAAGATGATCATTTACAGTCTCAACAGACAGCTATGGGGGAAGGAAAGAGAGTCAGCAGCCATGGTCTTGTGGCTGCATGTCTGTGAAACAGGACCAACATCAGTGGGTCCCCATTTTAAAAATGTTTGTTATTACTGTTGGCAGAGGAACCATCCCCAACACCACAGGGCAGATATGTCTGTAAATACCCCAGCCTCATTGCACCCTGGATGCTTGTGGGAGGCCCTATGGAATAGCCAACCTCTAGCTCATTTTGGGGTTACCACTGCCCATTTAACTGTGGGTGGGAAACTCAACAGTTGTGGGTGCATTCAGTGCACCCCAGCTGTTCCCTGGTCATGGCTGCCCAATGGCAACAACATCCAATATTCTGCCTCATTAATGGGCATCATATCCTCACACAGGTGCTTGCTTGTCCATCTGGGATCCAACCCCACTGGCCCTCTAAAAGAAATAAAATGTGGGTTCTACAAGGGTTAGGGGCTGGCCTTGGTGTTTTGGGACAAGCTGAACTTGCAGTCAATGAAGAACATCATTCATTAGAAAAGACCCTTTACTTAAAGTAGGTCCTGTAGAGGGAGTGCTGTTCCAGAAGCAGGATAAGAGGGGAAAGCAGCACAGAAGGACAGTGAGGCCTGAGCTCCATGGACAAATAGACTGAACAGACTATAGAAACTCAGGCCCAGACCCAGCAGTGGGACCTGCCTGCATCCGAACTCCACAGGCCTGTTGTCCATATTGATGCAGACGCAGTCAGAACTAGCTACGAAACCATGGCCCCTGGAATGGGTGCAAGAGCCCAGACCAGACAGTCATGGGACTCATGTGGTCCCACTGGATTCAAAAAATCTTGGATGAAAAAAATTTGCCCTGGGAAGAATACAACAGAAGAGTTAGGGGGTGGAGGAGCTCCCCTCCTAGACTCCAGTCTATACTCTCCCAAAGGTCACAGGTATCACCCCATATCCCCAACACCCAGACTTACAGGCAGCCTGAGTTGCCTGTGGGAACACACTGGAAAGAAGCCGCATAGTTCTGAAGCACAGAGAAGTTCTGAGAACTCTGACTGAACACCCAGGGTAGGATCAGGAAATACAAAAAAAGTACATGTGCAGGGACTGGACCAACTGCCTGTCTGGACGTCAGTCCTCACCATGGACCTTTCCCTCTGATATCTGACAGCTGGGAATCAGTCCCCATAGCTAGAATCATCAGGTGATAAATGTGTCCTTCACTTTCCCACAGGCCTCACTAAAGAGTGAGTGTTAGGATATAGGCTATAGGTAAGTGATGGACAAGCACCCATGTGGGGATATGATGCCCATTAAAAAGGCAGAGCACATTTCCACCTGGGCTGACCCCCAGGGGACAGGAAACTCAGCCTCACCCCTTGCCCACCTGAGCACTTCCTCCTTCACAGCACAGCTGCAGTGACCACAGCTCCAAGGAGACTCAGGACAGCAGTGATGCCCACAGTGATGACAGTGGTCTGAGGAAAGGGGGTTCTGGGAGAGAAAGGTGAGAGGTCAACCTCAGGCCTGATTCCTGACCCTGCTCAGGGACACCCTGAGCCTCTAAGGCCTCTAAGCAAAGAGAGATTTAGGTGGAGGCTGATGACTCAGAAAACCCTGAGTCAGGCCTCCAGAGAGGGTCTCAGCCCCACAACCAGGGAGAGGGTCCTGGTGCACCAGGTGCTGCAGGGTGTGAGGGAACCGCTGTGGGGTGTTTCAGGGAGAGGTTAGGTCCCTTATGGTCCATTAGAGAAAGCTGGGCTAGTGATGAGTAACAGAATAAGGAAACCTGGGCAACTCTTTCACCTCGTAGCAGGAGGAGGTTTTGACACTGCCCCATCCCCCTCCTCTCCGTGTAGGAAGCCACCCAGGCCCACAGATCCCCTCTTCGGGAGGCCCCTGCCCTGGTACCTGCTCGGAGCAGGGTCTCCTTTCTGTTTTGTAGGAACAGGCGGAGCCGGCACATGCACAGGTCCCCTAGGACTCCCAGCCATCGCTCTGCTGCAGGGCGCTCCACCAACTGGCTCTAAGGGATTCGGGCTGCTGTGTCGGTTGCGGTCCAGGAGTCCAGGTCCTGGTTCAGGGCGATGAAGTCTGTACTGTCGTAGGCGAACTGAGTGTATCCACGGAAGAAGTGCCCGTCTGACCTCACCACGCAGCCCCTCATTTCCTGAAAGGTGTGAGCCCCTGACACCGCCCTGGCATGAGGTCCCTCCGCTTATTCCCACCCCAACCAGGAGTCTGCCCGGGACCAGACTACTGAGGACCCGACTCCCGACTCATGATGTTGAACCCAAACTGAGAATTCAAACTGGTTAAGTCCCCATGGATTCCTTCTGGGTTGGATGTTGCGCGCACCCCACAGCCACTGAGTGACGCTGGGACCCGGATAGTCGGATAGTCGGGGCGACCCGGCCTTTCTGAGGGGATGAGGGCCGGTAACTGGCACACGTGGCTCACGGTCCTCACTCTGGTTGTAGTGGGCGCTCAGGTTGTTCACGTTCCCTCCGTACATCTTCTCATACTTTTTGATGCCCCGCGTGTAGTAGTCCCAAAACTGTGGATGCTCCTGCTCCACCCATGACTGCTCCATCCACGGCACCCGGGGCTCCAGCCTCTGCCTTGTGGCGTCGCTGTCGAACCTCACAGTCTCCGTGTCGTCCACGTAGCCCTAGACTATGAACTGAGATTTCCTGCGGCCGGGTCCAGACACGGAGCTGGTGAAAATTTTCAGGCTGTGGGGCCCTGGGGGCAGGAAGGACACTCATCCTGGGTCCTTGGCAGTCGGGCAGTTAAGGGCACGAGTCCCGGGAAAGGAAAGAGGGTGAGTGGTGAGAGGAGGGGGAAGGGAAGGGGGGGGGGAGACTGGAGTGGGGGGTCGGTGGTCTGAGCCGCTGGTGCTGGAGGCGCGCTTTCCCCGTGTCCTGTGTCTGCGTCTGGGCTCCTGGTTCCTGCCCCGCACAGTCCATCCCTCTCGACCCCTCACTAACCGACCCAGGTCTTGGTCAGGGCCAGGGCCAGGGCCAGGGCCAGGGCCAGGCCCCGACCCCCGCCCCGCCCCCCACCAGAGAGAAGCAGGAGCAGGCCTCGGGGCCCCATGACCCAGACGCTGAGCGTCTGGGGAGAATTGAGTTCTCGTGGTCGGTGAAGACTTTATACACAGAACCACGGTGACGCTGATTGGCTTCTCTAATGTTCTGACATTCAATGTGAGCGAGAACTGTGGAAGCGTCATGTGTATCCTGAAGGTAGGACCTGACATAGGTTGTAAGAGGGAGAAGTGAAACCCAGAGGAGAAGGGGACTCCTCAATCCTGTGAGTACCCCCCTCACCCCATTTCTGTCCTCCAGGTCTCATGCTAAGACCCTGCAGCCAGGTCTGGGGACCCGGGACTTTTCGCTGAGCCCCCTCCTACATGGAGAAGTCTCTGTCCCTCAGTCTCCCTGAGTCCCGGCCCACGGGCTGTTTTAGTCATGGCGTCTCACACATTTTGGTTTCAGAACATCTATATTGCCTTACAAAATAGGGAGGACGGCCAGAATAATTGTGTTTGTGTGCGTTATAGCTGTCAGTATTACCATAGGGAAAAATAGTTTGAAAAAATTATTTAGAATAACTTTGACAACCTATGACATGTTAACAGGGATAATATTTTTACAAAAATATAACTATTCCCCAAATAAAAAGTAGTGAGAAGAGTGGGTCTGCTTACATATTACATTTTTTTGCAAGTCTCAGTGCTTGCCAGTATCACTAGGAGACTGCTGGATTTTCATATTTCCTGCTGTGTTTCATTTACTATTTTGGTTTTTTTACATGAAAAATACACAGCTTCATACAAATATGTAGGAGAAGCATTTTAATAACATTTTTAGATTAAGTGTGAATATTCATCTTTGATGGTTCACTGAAGCTACACAAGTGGTAGTTCCTGAAAAGCTCTTGGGAAAGTGGAACCTGAAACAAATCCATTGAGTATTTCCTATTCTGTTACGTTACTTGACTGGCTCTTGTACTGATGCAGGATTATTTAAAGTAATGCATCATT